CCTTGAGGTTCCATTTTCAACAATGATTCAACATTTATATCATTTCTCCATGCCAAACATGCATCTAGGTTTATTATAGATAAAACCCCAACTTTTGTAAAATTACACAAAAGCCCCAAACTTTCACAAAATTACCCAACCAAACCCAACATCTCAAAATACTAAAATTTAAAGACAAAATCCGTAGAGAGGAGTAGGATATCCCTACCTCAAATTCGGAGCCCCAAAGGAGAAGATGACAAAACCAAACGTGCTCCAAAACCCGAAATTTTCAGATTAAAATGAAGCCCTCGACGATCAACAACCTTTTTGTAAAGGCCAAAGGTGAGCAAATCACTCCTACTAGATCAAAACCTAGAGGGAAGGTAGAGTTCTAGAGTGAGAGGCTCAACAATGGTGTTTTTGGAAAGGTAAGAGAGAGAAGAGAAAGTGAAAAAGTGATTTGAAAAGTCACAATTCGGGACTTAAACCCAGTCTTCCGCTCGAGCGTAAAACACCCCGCTCGAGCGTCACTCACAGACTTCCGCTCGAGCGCCGAATGCACTCTCCCAGCACTTTTACAGAACCAGGTCTCCGCTCGAGCGTCCAACTCCCCGTTCGAGCGGCACTCACACAACCCTGCTCGAGCGGCCAACTCCACGCTCGAGCGTACAACACTGCACAGGAAAAACTGGATGGATGTATTCCCCGCTCGAGCGCCCAAACCCCCGCTCGAGCGGACAGGCCAAAATCTGGGCAACTAGTTTTGGTTTCTAAACTCAACCAACCTGTAACAAACCTGCCCAACACATCCTATAACTCAAATATAAAGTAAAAAGGATGTAAACAAGATAATAATCAACTACCAACATCCACGGACACATGTCCGGATCACTATACAACAAGGGTAAATCAGGGATCGCTATACATCTTATTTGCCATGTCTTTTAGTTTTCTCGTCTTTTCTCCGGCATCTGTCCCTCCATACCTGAAGTCTGCTTTTACGGTAGTACTTACTTCGGCCTGCTTTCTTCGGTGCGTCTCCCTATTGGCTGATGTTATTCTTCCCGAGATTCTGATCCTGTGCTCTTTCTTTACGGTTTTCTTCTCCCACGTTTAGATTGGCAAGTTTACCATCCCCACTAGGGATGTCGTCTCCAATCTTTTCTCCCTGTTTGTTGTTGGCCATCTATTCTCCTTAAGTTCCCACAGACGGCGCCAAATTGATTTTGTGTGTTGATTTTCGACCACACTGCCAATCAAGCACTCAGCTGAAGAACACTGGCAGAATAGATTAAATCCGAATAACCTGTCATAGAAAGAAGAGATTCTAGCAGTGGTTCGTCCACCCGGGGGCACTCCGACAATCAAGTCAGTTATCTCTCAAAGATAGCAAAAGTGCTTAACTCACTATTCAGAACATAAAAAACATACCTTAGACCCATGTGGGTGCCTCCCTTTTAGAGCCAACACAATCCTAGTCCTAATAGAAACCTAGCTTCAATGGACTTTGGATTACTGCTAATCTTTGACTCCTAGTAGGATTGGGATAAACTCTCTAAGAGTCTTATCTTTATCCAAACTGAAGTCTTCTCTCATTCTAGGACTCTTGTCCCTTATCCGCTTATCCCGGATTCCAGTATCTTCGCAGATAACCCCGGCCTAGCTGAAATCACCTCGACGTTATGACCAGGACACGTGGCACCCCGGCTGACACTTCGGTGACACCTTGGCCACGTGTTTGTCACTCAAAAATTATGTTCCCACAATATGTATTCGCCCCCCCCCTTTCCTATATATTAAAGTAAATTTTGAGAAAAAATAAAGACTCTCTTAATGTAATAGAGTAAACGCTATAATTTTAACATAATTACATTGTGTTCCCTCATTTTAATTTGTATAATACTTAATTTTCATCAATAATTTTTTTAGTTATATGGATAAGAAAAATAATATTATCATCTTTTGTAAACAAAATTGTATATTTTGAATTATTTATTTTGTACTTACACAATATCGGCATTAGTTTTGGTCCATTTCACTTTACTAAAAGATATTAGCGTAATTATATGAAAAATATGAGGCTTAATGTATTTTTTTTGAAAAATTCAAAAGAGGCTAGTGTAATTTACAGTGCACAACATAAGATTTTTATTGAAGAACCACATAGTGGTATGGTACAAATTCAAACTCTAATGCATCATTAGTTAATTTGACAAGTTAATACATATGTTAATAGGTAGTCACGAATGTCCCATGCATTATTAGCCTTACAAAAGATAAAGTCAATTTAAAAATGTGATAACTTTCTGTATCAACAATCTACATAAAATTACAACTATGTCAATTGTAATGTTTATCATTTACTTCATTTTACTCAAAAAAATATAAATATTATAACACATTTTTATATTAAATTTGAAAAGAAAATTATCACATTTTCAAACTGACTATATCTATTGTAAGGCTAATAATGCATGTTACATTAGTGACTACCTATAAACACCTATAAACATATGGGGGATTTGGTGATAGACCCCTCGCTGTCTAATTTGTCTTTCAAATGGACAAGAATTATATAGATCCTTTCAAAACCCCCTAATATTTTAAAACTTGTTTATTTTACTATACTACCGTCATGTATATATATATATATATCAGCTCTCTTGTAAAGTCATCCTCACAGTACATTTTAGAGTAAAATTTATTATGATTCAAAGTAAAATTTTATATCATTAAGCACATATATTGTCTTAGAGGTAAAATTTTACTCTCATTCTACCAAACAAAAACAGAGTACATACCAGAGTAAAATTTTACTCTCATTCTGTCAAACAAAAACAGAGGACATACTAGAGAAAAAAATAGAGAAATAGAGAGATAAAGAGAGCACATATATTGCCTTAGATTTGGTTCAAACCAGAGTAAAATTTTACTGTCTAAAAAGTAGAGCATGATGAGGAGACAAAGAGAAAAGGATGAGAGAATATAGATCTGAGATGATAAATCTCAAATTTGACGTCATCAATCTCAGATCTGAAGTCTTGGACGCTAAAGATGACGATGGTGGCATCAAATTGCGCTGGGGGTTGAGATGCTAGTGGTGAAATGGTGGTGGCGGTGGTGGTGATGAACAACATCGATGGTTAAGACGGTATTGGTAGGGACGACGGAAGTGGTGGAAACGATGGTAATCATGGTAGTCGTGGTAGTAGAGATGGTGATGGTGGTGGTGGTGTAGACGGTGGTGATGGTGGTGGAGAGAGCTCACAGAAAGATAGAGAGTGTGTGTGAATGGGTAAATTTGCCACACAAAATATAAATCTAAAATTTTTTGTCCTTTATACAAGACTTTATAATTATGAGAGGGTTTTGAAAGTATATATATATATATATATATATATTTTTGGGTCCTTTTAACAAGAAAAGGAAAGTAAGAGGGGTTTATGGCCAAATTTTCCAAACATATGTATTAACTTGTCAAATTAACCAATGATGCATTAGAGTTTGAATTTGTACCATACCACTATGTGGTTCTTCAATAAAAATATTATATTGTGCACTTATTATCTTTTAGGATAAATTACACTAACCTCCTCTAAATTTTTTTAAAAAAATACATGAAGTGTGTATTTGGATTTACTTATTTAATAGACTATTTTAATTTTTGACTATTTTAGTAAGTTAAAATTTTTGTGTTAAGGAAGATGATTAAATTTTTTTGTAATTGAATATGATATTTGTGAGAAAAAAAAGTAAAATGATTATAAATTTGATATGACATTTTATCTTATTAGCTATTTTAGTTGTCTTTTTGTGAATTTTAACTTAAAAGAAGCTAAAATTTTTCTTGCCAAACACCCCCTAAGTCTCACATTTTTTATATAATTACGTTAATCTCTCTTTTAGTAAAGTGAAATAAACCGAAACTAATGCAGGTATTATGAAAAAATAAAATAAATAACGTAAAATATACAAATTTGTTTATAAAGGATGACAATATTTTTTTTTATCCATATAACTAAAAAAATTATGGGTGAATTACAAATATACCCCTAAAATTTGCTTAAAATACAAATTGTCCCCCGTGGTTTAAAAAATTACAAATACCTCCCAGACAAAAAATTTTATTTAACAGAATTAATTAAAAAAGTAAAATTTCTAACCGTTCACCTATATAATAATAAAATTATCTGAATTATTATTAAAAACTGTTAATTAAGTTAATAATTTATTAATAAAAAGACTTATTTGTTATGAAATTAAAAACCTTAAGGGGGCATAATGTAATTTCTAAAATCACAGGAGATAATTTGTAATTTAAGTAAATCTCAAGAGAAGTGATTGTAATTTACCCAAAAATTATTGAGGACAATTAAATATTATACAAATTAAAATAAGAAAACTCAATATAATTATGTTAAAATTATAGCATTTACTATATTACATTATGGGAGTCATTTACTATATTGTTATGGGAGTCCTTATCATTTCTCAAAATTCACTTTAATATTTAGGAAGAGGGGGAAAAAAAGCATATAAGAAGTGATGATTTGACATTAATAAAAATTTATATGTAGTAAAATAATATAAATAGTTTATCTGTGCATGTCAAAAAATATTGAAGCGAAAGAAATTTCAATCCACCAAGTAATTGTTGAATTTCAATTTCAAATGACATTTAACTACCTAAATGTCAACCATCGCATGCCTTGATTCTTGATCAAAATTCAATAAGAATTAACATTTTCGTATATATATTTTGATGAACCCATTTCATATATGAAATTGGGATATATATATATCAAGCATTATACAAAAAGTTTTGTTTCACTTATTGATTACACTACACAGGCGGTCACACATCACTTGCCTAGATATAGAAAAGTTTAGCATCCAGTTCAAAGTACCTAAAATATTGAGTAAAGATATTGACACCTAATAAACTATCACATCAAAAATAAATAAATAAATAAACTAATTTATTCCTAGCAATGCTGTAAAATATTTTACTCTGGCTCCTTCGGTCGAATGATAGCACATTTCACAATAAGCCCACTCTTCCACAGTTCAGTATGATCCTCCAGAGAGAATTCCATCGTTCCAACGTTTTCTGGTGACATTTTAAACTCACTCAACTGGATATCAAACCAACTTCCTAAAGGCTTTTCATTTAGACTTTCATTGCGTGTTAGCTTTTTTGAATTTGGAAGGATGATGGTAAGTTTTAATGAGAAATCTTGACATTTGATCATCCTCACGACAAAAACAATTTCGTAAACTATCCCTGGTGAGAGATCAACTGCCCCATTAAATTGCCCTCTAACAGCTAACCAACATACCTGTAATAGCTCAGCGACTTCAATCTCTTCACCACTGCATGCCAAACCGGGTAAATGTTAAAACTGTCCATGGTCATTATAAATAAATAAATAAATAAATCCAGAACCACAAATTTTTGTTTCCTGCACAATTAGTATATATACGATTTGCCCATTTCATGAACAAATGTTCCTTGAAGAAGTACCTCACAGTTAGGCCCTATTGCTTTAGGTCATGCCATTGATCAGTTTCATTGATTAAATGTTAAATAGCCTTAAGTCAACGTAGCATAGCACGACATGAAGTACTTAAGCTATACACATAATTTAACTTACCTTGTCTCCTTCAATGTGGTCCATCTCCAATATTGAGGATTATCATTCCAACAGATATTAAGTTCTCTTGCAAATAGCACAAAGCAGTTCTTGTTTGACTTCTTGTCGACAAAATACTTCTGCAATAGGCAGTAATGACAACACAAGCATGGATAGCAATAATTAATGACAATAATGTGAAACCAAAAAAGAAAAAAACCCCCCCCCCCAAAAAAAAAAAAAAAAAAAAAGCAATATCATATATGGGTGGCATATATTTTTGGATTTCAAAGTCAACGTTCAATCCATCACTATGAAATATAAAATTATACTGATTCTGAAATAATAGTGTGACTAGTTCATATATGAAATGGGCTTTAAGTAGAACTTGCCAGTTTGTTGGGCTTTAAGTACACTCCGGAGTAGAGCTGCTCACACAGCTTGTCAGGGGAAGACATGTCAATTGATATATTTGCATCTTTCAAAATCGCTAGGAAATTAAGTGGCGGCCTTGTTATTCCATTTCTTGCTGCAATATCCTTTGCTTTCCTTGATGAATCTGCCTTGCTGGTTTGTTCAACTTGTTGGATCTCTGAAGCCCCATTAGGCACCATCTAGCCACCACCAAAAAGGAAAAGCAAAATTAAGGAAACAATAGTTATAAAAATTATTAAAAAAAAATAATAATAATAAAATCTAAATGCTATTTCAGATTTTAAGGGATAGAAAGAAAGAAACAACCACATACATTCACGTCTGGTGCACCATCGATTTGGATAGAGAAAGAGGACCTCCAGAAGGGGGCTTTGTTGATGGGATTCTCTCTTTTTATAATATTCTCTTCCTCTTCATTTTGTATGGAAGTTTTTTTATTTTATTTTTTGACATGTCCGAAAGATTTCAGATTCCATCATCAACCAAATGAGCTGGACCTGGACATTAATACAAGCAAATTGGAGGCCATGTACACAAAGTGACCTCCAATTTGGTGTTTCTGTCCAGCATCGGAATAGCTGCTGGTTGTTGCCATCACATTGGTGTGTTTGAATTGTTAGCTAGTAGCACATGGGTTTTGATAATGCATCAAAGCTCTTGCATGTGTAAGTGTTTGTTTATTAATGGGTGTAAGTGTTTGTTTATTAAATTTAGTGATTTGATGTGAAATGGATGTGAAATCTATTTCCATGTTCCAAATTTGTCGAGAAGAGAGTTTTTAACACTTTTTAATGAGAAAGCCTTTATAACTTCAAAGGAAAAAAAAAAGAAAAAGAAAATAAAGAATATACATCATGTAAGGGTAGGTGGCTTAGCCAACCATTTCTACAAACTAAAAAATTCTATATTTAAGCATAAGAAAATTCTGAAAATATAATTTAAGAAGATGAAAGAACAAGAAATAAAGTACAAGAAATTAAAGAAACTGCATCATCTAAGGATAGGCGGTTCAACCAACCATTTCTACAAGTTAAATCACGTATTTATGTATAAGAAAATTATGAAAATATAATTTAAGAACATGAGAAAACAAAAAATAAAATACAAGAAATTAAAGAAACTGCATCTAAGGATAGGTGGTTCAACCAATCATTTTTACAAGTTATATCACATATTTAAAGACAAGAAATTGAAAGAAAATACACAAGAAAATTTTACCTTTAGAAGAAATGATGAATTTTCTGATTTCCAAACTCTCTTCCTAGCACCCTTAAGATTATGGAGTATGTTTTTAAAATCTCAACAAGAAAATTCAGGTTTTAGCTTTAGTGAAGTTTTAGGTGGTATATCAATATATATTAGTGAAAGGTAAGAAAATGGAGGTTTATATCTTGATTTGTATTTTCTCTCAATTTTGACAAAACAAACTCTTTCTTTGATCAAAGCTTAGACCTCTCTCAAATCAAAATTTTTCACCACCTTATTCATAGTTCTAATGGTCTTCTTATATAGGCAATTGAAGAAGGTTTTCTTAGTGGAAAAGTGAAAGACAATGGTGGAAGACAATTGATAATGGAGGTAGGAGACAATGTACAATCGAGGTGGATGGTGAGTGGTGATGGTGGTGTGTGATTAGGAAAATGGATGGTAAGTGTTGATGGTGGTGTGATTAGGAAAGTGGATGGTGAGTGGGGATGGTGGTGTGTGATTTAGGAAAGTGGATGGTGAAGGGGGATGTTGGGGAGTCCAGATCCTCTGTAGGGTTTTCCTACAAAGCATCCTGCAGTACAAGGGAAACGAAGTCAATTTGCCTCGTTTTGCCCTTTTTTTTTCTTTTTTTTCAGCAGCAACTTCTCTTTCTTCTCTACTTCTTCTCTTTTCAAAGACCTAACCCCCCAAAAGTCCCAAAACGAAAACCAGAAGAGGACTGGAAGACGAACAAAGGACCAGTGAACGACGGCAGACCGACAACAGGGAAGACGAATGCGGAGTCTGACCAAAGGCCCAAAATGTCTCAAATTCTATATATATGTATATATATCATATATGTATCAAGTTCTATATATATGTTATAGGTTCTATATATATGTCTCTTCTTCTTCTTCTTCTTCTTCTTCTTCTTCCTCTATATATACATACATATAATGATATAATATGTACTACCATAGTTTCCTAATTGCAATTTTGTAAAAAATAGGACTTTTCTTTCATGCTCAGGTTCTCTCTCTCTCTCTCTCTCTCTCTCTATATATATATATATAGACAATCAACAATAATCATTTGGATATTAATATACCCCTGTTATAGTCGCATTAGGAGGGAGTAAAAAATCAAGATGATGAACATATGAATTTTGTGATCATGTAGCTTACAGAAAATTGATGTCTTCTAGGGTCGTCAGTATCATCTAGATATGAAGATGTATCACACAATACGATCCAGATCTATGTCATTTCAATATGTATCTTTCTCACATATTGTAGGTACAACTACATTGCTAATACGGTGATCATGATCCTGATATACACTCAAATCGTGCATACACAGCAGAGTTAGGGTATTGTAGCAAACCATTTCTTTAACAATTGGCAATCCTATGTCCAAATCATCTCTTCCTCTTTATACTAGATCAACTCTCCACTACACAATCATGTTAAAAATATTTATTGTGTGGTACGATATAGAATTTGAGACAAGAGAATAGGACAAGATCGTGTAAACTTCTGTTGGAAATAGTGTCATAAGTGTGGAGGATTTAAAGTTAGAGTGCTTGTATGGTACTAGCATATAAACTCGGATTAAAAATTCCACTATATTTTTTTAAAGTTAGAGTGCTTGTATGAATTTTTTCAAACCTTAACCATTAGCATTGCTTACATTAGACACATACCCTGGGGTGGGGACATAATTTCAACATTGGAGGGACCAAAAGGAAAGTATGGAGTTGCTCCCACTGAATGGACAGTGAGTGGGCCAGGTCGGTTTAAACCTTTTAAATATTATTTAACATAAGTCAATTGGACCAATAAAAAATTAAGAATGATGATGACGACTTATAAAGCACGGACACGGACACAAACACGGGAAATGGCAATTTTAAAAAAATAGGGACACGGACACGGACACGGACACGGACATGGACACGGCTGAGGACACAGCAAAAAAAAAATTATATATATTTTTTTATTTTAATACAAGTTAATTATTTTATTTAATTATTATATTTTTAAATAAATATGATTCTATTAATTTTTTTATTTTATTTTATCTACTATTTTTTTTGATTAATATATACAAGATATAAGATATGCCTTTTTATTAATATTAAATAAATACACATATATATATATATTATATATGAATAAGATCAGATCAGAGCAGAGAGACGCGAGAGCGATTGACGCGATCGATGCGAGAACGAGAGAGAGAGAGAGAGAGAGCGAGAGGGAAGGCGAGAGACAGGGACGAGAGAGAGAGACTTACGGATGGAGGTCGACAGGCGAGGTGAGTTGTGATCGAGGTCATGGATGGAGGTCGACAGGCGAGAGAGAGAGTGACTTACGGTGGTCGACTGAATGGAGGTCGACAGGTCAACTGGATCGAATACTAGGTTTGTATCTTGACCTTTACTCTTCTCTTTTGCTCTTTGCTCTTTATGTCCAGATTTGGACACGTGTGTCCCCGCTGTGTCTCCGCCGTGTCCCTACAAAAAAAATAATTAAATTAAAGGGACACGCCATCCAGCGTGTCCCATACGTGTCCCTGGCGTGTCCCCATGTCAGACACTGCCACGACATGAAATCTGGCATGTCCATGCTTCATAGATCATGTTCTCTACCAATATGATCACGACCTAAGTTTGAGTAAACAAAAAAATTAAAAGTAAAATTAAAGTTATAATTTCTAATTAAAACTAAAAGATGTGTACATAAACTTACAAGCTTCTTCCAAATTCCTTGCAAGGGCCTCCACTTCGTCTTCATCCGAATCACATCCATGTCGAGCATTCCTATCAAGCACACTCAACCAATTTCCTTCTCTTGGAAGAGTCGGAGTCTCTCTCTCTGTTATCCATTCATCATTTGATGGGATATCATCCAAACATAATGGATTTACGATTGCTTGTCTATTCATGTGTCGTTGTCTCAATTTCAAATTGTACATGACAAACACCAAGTCATTCATTCTCTTTTGGTGCAAACGATTCCTCCGCTTTGAATGTACCATCTCAAAAGCACTCCAATTTCGCTCACACCCCGATGAACTACTTGTTAAACTTAATATCCTAATTGCAAACCTCTTCAACTCAGGGCATTCATCACCAAAAGAGTCCCACCAATCAGCTACATGAAAGTTTAGTTATAAATTTAAAATTGATGAAATGATACAAATCAACTTATAGAAAAAATAAAAAAACACCTGGAGATTTCTTTTTCCTAGTCATGATTGCATTTTGTATGCCAAAAAGCCCTCTTGCACTCTTGAATGCATCAATTTGCAAATCTATCTTCACCCTCTCATTAACATCAGGAACCATTCTTTCAAGACATTTGTACAGCCCAATTTTAACCTCCACATCGGGTTGAAAATTAGGACTGTAATGAAACTGAGGGTTCAAGAAGTATGCTGCAGCATGCAATGGGTGATGGAGTTGGGATTCCCATCTTCTATCAATGATGGTCCATATAGGATCATAGCTAACACCATTAAATAAAGAATATTAATGAACAAATAAAAAGTTTAGAGAAATATAATAGTAAAGTAAATAAGTTTAACTAATTAAAAGTTTATCATGTGAAAACATTATTGAAATTGCTTTGAATTTCCTCTTTCGCACGATCCATTGCCGCGTAAATGAATCCCATCGCCGGATGCTCATCCGAATCCACCAATCTAAGTACTTTAATAAGAGGTACCATAGCCTTCAAGCACATAGAAACGCCCTTCCAAAAAATATGATTATCTAAAACAATATCTTCAATTTTTTTACCCTTTTCAGACCTTGCAAATCGACTATTCCTCCACTTGGATGATGTAAACAAAGAGAACAATGCACCCTTTTGCTCATGAAGGCGCCTCAAGGTCAAGTAAGATGTGGCAAATCGTGTTACCGCGGGCCTAATAAGTTCAATACCTTTTGTGAACTCCTTCATCCAATGAATAAGATTTGTTGTAACGC